TGGTTGGTAAGTGATAAAGTTTCAATTCAAAGCACCCAATGAAATGTCATGTTAAGCACCCCATGAAATGTCATGTTAAGCACCCCATGAAATGTCATGTTAAGCACCCCATGAAATGTCATGTTAAGCACCCCAATGAAATGTCATGTTAAGCACCCCATGAAATGTCATGTTAAGCACCAATGAAATGTCATGTTAAGCACCCCATGAAATGTCATGTTAAGCACCCCAATGAAATGTCATGTTAAGCACCCCATGAAATGTCATGTTAAGCACCCATGAAATGTAATGTTAAGCACCCATGAAATGTCTGTTAAGCACCCATGAAATGGTCATGTTAAGCACCCAATGAATGTCATGTAACACCCTGAATGTCATGTTAAGCACCAATGCAATGTCATGTTAAGCACCCCATGAAATGTCATGTTAAGCACCCAATGAAATGTCATGTTTAAGCACCCCATGAAAATGTCATGTTAAGCAACCCCATGAAATGGTCATTGTTAGCACCCCAATGAAATGTCATGTTAAGCACCCAATGAAATGTCATGTTAAGCACCCCATGAAATGTCATGTTAAGCACCCCATGAAATGTCATGTTAAGCACCCCATGAAATGTCATGTTAAGCACCCCATGAAATGTCATGTTAAGCACCCAATGAAATGTCATGGTATGAATGTTAAAATGTGTTGGGTTATGGGAGAAAGTTTTGACTTCATATGAATTTGGATCCGTTTTGTATTGTGGTCTATTTGTGTTGTTTTTTACTCTGATTCATTCCACTAATGAGTGGGAACATGGTTTCCGAGCCTGTTGTCTGTTTACGCTGTGTGAATATTCATGTTTGGTGTATGAATATGCAAAATACACACACACACACTGGTGCGTAACACAACACACGTGAGAGAGAGAGAGAGAGAGAGGTGATAGGGAGAGAGAGAGAGAGAGAGGTGACTAGGAAGAAGAGGAAACAAACAGGGAAGCCACCACATGTCTATGGAGGACAGGGTCACGAACCCATCAGCCATACTGAGAGAGAGGGACAGGGAAGAGGGGAAGGAGACAGGGAAGGAGAGAGGGAAGAGGGGAAGGAGACAGGGAAGGAGAGAGGGAAGATGGGAAGGAGACTGGGAAGGAGAGAAGGGAGACGTGAAAAGATACAAGGACAAACAACAAAGGAGAGAGACAGTAGAGGAAAAGAGAGTGAAAGAGAATAGATACTAAGATGCAGAGAGAAGGAGAGAGAGAGAGAGAGAGAGAGAGAGAGAGAGAGAGAGAGAAAAACAGAGAGAGAGAGAGCAGGGACATGAAATCAAGCTATTGAGAACTTGTCAGTTGTCAAATTAATCAGCCATTCATTCAACCAGTCAGCCAGTTAGTCATTCAGCCAGCCAGCCAGCCAGTCATTCATCCAGTCAGCCAGCCAGTGAGCCAGCCATCCAGTCATTCAGCCAGACAGTCAGTCTGTCAGTTAGCCAGCCAGTCAGCCAGTCAGCCAGTCAGCCAGCCAGTCACCCAGTCAGTCAGACAGTCAGACAGTCAGCCAGACAGTCACCCAGCCATTCATCCAGCCAGTCAGCCAGTCAGCCGGTCAGTCAGTCAGTCTGTCAGTTAGACAGTTAGAAGTCTGCAAACAAGATCCTGACAGTGAATATCTCACTGGAAAAATGGGCAACAGAATCACCCCCATAAAGTCTAGACATGTTTCAAGATTTTTCAGTCAAGCATGTTGCCATGATGTGTAGAAGCTGTTATTGACAAAGGGAATATGAATCATAAACACATAGAAAACGTTGTTGTTCCATGTACAATAGATTGAGGAGGGTGTTCATTAGAAAAGGGGTGTTGGATTGCATGTGGATGGTAGTCATCCTAGCGAATAATTTAAATTGAAATGTGCTCCACTCCATATCAGCTAAACATTCACATTGGCAAAATAAGGATATACAACTCCAACACAACACTCACTGTTCTTGTTACAAATGCATGACTATTGTCTCACATTAATCAGGCCAGCCCTGATCAACAGTCACAGAGTGCTTTACAGATACCCAGCCTAAAACCCCAAAGAGCAAGCAATGCAGAGGCAGAAGCAAAGTGACTACCTGGCTGAGCTTGATCAGCAGGGGTCCGGGACAAGGTAGACACATGGGGAAATCAGGCCAGGGGTCCACAGCTGCAGTCCACAGCTGCAGCACACGACCAGGGGCTCATGTCCTCCGGGAGGGGAGACAGAGCGAGTGGGAGGAGAGATTAGTTGGAGCAAGCCTAAGATCACACATTATTGCTGATCTAGGGTCAGGTCCCACCAGTCCATATCATTTGATTCATTATGATCTAAAAGGCTAAATGTATCCTAGATCTGCACTCCTACTCTATGACGCTTTGTGAATACGGGTCCAGATAAGACAAGCTGAACCTAGCCCCCCGGCACATAAGCTATTGCAGAGTTGGGAGACAATGTGGCCCCGTTCAATGTCACCCCTGGACAGGGACATCTAGGAAGGAGCTTACCCAACCACTCTGACGCAGTGGTTGGGTGGCTAGTCGAGGCAGAGTTGTGCTAGGCAGATCTGAAAGAGAGGCACATCATTATTTTAATGAGAATTCAGTCCACTTGACAATTGAACAGAATTCAGTATTCTTTATGATGATGATTTGTACAACTTGAGACAGATAGCGATATGGTACAAATAGATAAAAACATGATATGGAATGTAACATAGATACATACGATGTGCATATGGTGGTTTCAAATAATAATGTCACTACAGATAGCTAGCTCTGTCCATGCTTTTCCTAGAAAATGTCTATCTGATGTTATAGCTAGCTAGTTGATGTTGTTCTGGCTAGCTCACCCAAAGCAGGCTTTGCTCCTCTTCGGTGGTCTGCAGATGCATGACTACATGATCATGATGTTGTGGCATTAACATTTAATGGACATTGCACTAGAACAACAACAATTAGCTAGCTATATAATATGGATATTTTCAGGAACAGCAGCTCATATAGCAAGACATTAAAATGTCTATCATTGCATTGGTTCGACATTGACATCTAGCTATCTAATTAAGATTTTTTTCTCTGTAGCACTTTGCTGTCATCTTGTCTGGGTACTGCAACAGCCCGATTGAAGCAACAGCATGTCTAATCTTCTCCCCCATCCCCTCTTGATTCTACAGGGAGCTAGCCTGTTCTCCTCAAAACATCACTAGCAAGATAGCTAACGTTAGCCAACTTGAGCAGAGATCTCAGCGTGCTAACTTGCAAAGCCAACCAACTACACACCAAATATACACTAACTAATGTTAGTCTTAGCCAAATGACAAGTAGCTACATAGCTAGAACCTCTAGATATAGGCTAACCAGAAGGCAGCTTTGTAGCAGTTATCCAATGTGGAAACACTTTTCATTTTGATAATTCATCTTCCTCACCAACTCCTTTCTGTAGCTTTAAAATTCTGTATATATAATTGAGTTATTTCAACAAATTTGATC